GCCATGACCATTAACAAGAGTCAGGGACAATCTTTATCGCATGTTGGTCTTTTTCTAAAGAAATCTGTCTTTAGTCATGGGCAATTATATGTTGCTGTTTCGCGTGTAACTACTATAAGGGGATTGAAGATATTAGTTTGTGAGAATGACGAGTTGCCCAGTCATCAAACTTACAATGTTGTGTACAAGGAGGTCTTTAATAATATATGATTGTTTCTTTGTCGAATATTATTTTATTTTACAATTTTACTGCGTATTATAAATTTTATATTGAATATTGCATCTTATAATATAATATTCCCCAACAAAATATATTCCGTGCCTCGCACGTGTCACGTACTATATATATACCTTAAAAACTGTGCACCCCGTGCATCGCACGAGTTATGCACTAGTAAGAATGAATCTGAACCATGTGATCAATCATATCAATTGGTACAATGAAGTCAAACTATGGTCAATCATTAATGGCATTCTGATAATTATTTGATCTATATTTGACCATAATTAAAAATATGGACATTTAATTTAAACCTAACAAAAGGTGGGACCCACCACCCACAATAATACCTCCCCAACGTGGCAACCCACCTACCCCCCTCATACTCTCTTCCACACACAAACACACACACACACATCACAGAACACACATACACACACATCACAGAACACACACATACACGCTCTGCTCTTTGCCAAACCGCAACTCGCCGCCGCGCCGACAACCGAATAGCCGTCGCCACCAGCACATACTCATTATCATTGGCCATCGTCGACACCAGCACCATCTCGCCTGAAAAATCAAGCGTGCCTCCGCCTACGGGCCTTCATCGTGGTTGCGGTCCCCGACGCCTCCTTTGGCCGCCGCTCCGAATCTGAATGGGAGGCGCTCTGCCGCGCCTGCAAAGCCGACCTCCATTGCTGCTGCTCCCGTCTCCTTCTCCGCAGGATGCTCCGGCGAGGAGCCATATGAGGCGGAGGCTCAGGCATTCTCGTGGTTCGCGTCGCAGGGGGGATGGCGGCAGTTGAGGCGGGATAACGGCGACGCCGACGACTGAGTGTTGGTAGCGGGGAACTCGGGGCTGAGATTGAGTGAAATTGCTTTTCAGATTTGGTGAAATTTGGGGCTGAGATTGGGCGACAAGGGGCTGCGATTGAGTGACGGGAATAGGGGTTTGAGGATGAGTATTTTTGGGGAATTAGGAAATTTGGCCGCTGATATTCAGTGAGGAATAGGTGTTCATTGTTTTGGGGCTATGTTCATTTTTGGGAAATTAGATATATTTAGGGGACCATTTTGCAATTTTTTGAACTTTTAATATGTGTATAGTTTAATACTTAAAGGCAATTTATAATTGAACTGAGGACTAATTTATGCACAATAATGACACATTAGATGCACAATATTGTTCCTAGACGTGCACTTTAAATTTTTTTGTCATATCTACGACATTATTAAGAAGAGAAAATTACCTACCCCACTACACATTAACATCTTTATTACATATTTATAACCCATATATATTTATTTATAAATTAACTAAAACTATCATATTTATTTGCAAACATACTAGATTATTGAGTAACAGATAATTGTTTTTAATTATGGTAAAAGAGATTTAATGAGAGCTATAATTGCGATATCTCCCCTTCCCTTTCTATTCTTCTTCTCTCTCCCTTTCTTTCTCTCATCTTCTTCTTGCCGCTGTTCTCCTTCTCCCACCACCCCTTCGCCGCTTCGCTCCGTCTACGGATCTGTTAAGAACCAATTTTCGGCCACGTTTCCGTTCATAATCCACTACTCATTTTTTATCGTGGGCCTCCCCAGTCCCCTCAACTCCTCAAAACACTAAATCCTCATCTAAAGAAGTGACTCGATTTAGAAAGTATAATTGTGCTAGAATGGTGTGTCTGAGAGTATTTAGTGTTTTGCCTTTGGATTTTGAAAGTTTCAGAGGTTAAGATGATTTTGTGGAATGTGCTTGTATCTCTATTGCGTATATGTGTATTATCCTGAAAGATTGTGATAAACTTCTTTACATTATAGCACAAAACTTTATAGTGATAAATTTTTTTGGACAAAAAAAAATAAAAATAATAATGATTATAATTCATTTGACTATACTCGTACATGAAAGGATCACCACCGGATTGGTGTTTTGTATCTGTTGATGATGGCACCGCGAAGAAGAGGTGGACATAGTTCGGGTCCACATCCAAATACCGTGCACAAGCTGAACGTCGTCAAAGTAGGCCTGCTTCGTTTATGGTAGTATATGTTACGTGTATAGGCAGTATATGTTCACGACAGTATATATTGCGTAAATAGGCAGACAATATATGTTGCGTGTATGTTCAGTATATGTTATGTGTATATGCAGTAGACAGTATTTGTTCAGTATATGTTATGTGTATAGACAATATATGTATAATTTATAGTATGCATTTCTTTTGATGTTTTTTACAATAAGTAACTTGTTACAATTTGTATATAAACTATATATATATATATATATATATATATACTTTTATGATTTTTATCATTGATTTGTTGTGTATATGTATGGTTTATCTTTTAGTAAAATTGTTTACAAAGTATAATAGTAAAATAAATAATACGCAAACCCAAAATATACTACAAAATATTCAAAAATTGATTTAAAATAAGAATAAATTGAATTCTTTTTGTTGTGTATATGTATAGTTTATATACATAGTACATTCATCATATAATGAATGAAAATCATTATAGGCGATTCCATCCGCAAAAATATCAAAAATATATACCTGTAATAAAAAAAAAAAAGGATACATAACAGAAGGGAGTGTGGAAAGTTGCTTTCAATTTGGTGATAAACCACAAATAAGACTCGTTACGGAAGATGGAGTGTGGAAAGTTGTATCTTGACATAACAGAAAATTTGTGGCTTCAATTTTGCCTTATTAATATTGTTTTGTTGGAGATCCCGTAACTGACGGAATTAAAGGTGGGAGCGTTTTTATTTGGTGAGGTTTTTAAGATTGGGTGTGATGCTAATTAAAATGCTAAAGATTCGTATATATCCTAATAATATTGCAACCTCGTACATTCACAATAAAATAGCAAAAGTTATGTTGTTATGTAAATGGCCCTATTAAGAATGTGCTAAATACATCATTTTTTTAAGTGATTTTTTTCACAGTATTTGTCTATAGATATGTGATTTAAAAGTAAAAAACAAATAATCAAAACGAACAATAAAATTTCGAACATAAAATTTTGACATAATCATGAAAATTTTGACATAATCAGTTCACTTTGTTGGTTAACATAAATAATCAAAATAACCAAAATAGATTATATTATTTATTCTAAAAAACATGTTTAGTCTTTAATATTTTTATTTAATATTATATGTAATTTTTTTTATTAGAATAACAATTTATATGTAAACGAAATATAAAGTGCAATCTAACAGTTATTGATGTGCAATTCATTCAACACTACGGTGCATGGTGCCGGTCTATATTGTGCAGATTAAAATGACCGAACTTTTGTTCAAAATCTTTGCAACTGGAGATAATTAAATGGTTAACTTGGTTCGGTTAACCGAATTATCCTAACTAATCGAAATAATTTGTTCTTTATATTACAATTATACTTAATATGTTAATAATTTTATTTATTATTTTTATATTATTTTTTGTTGAAAATATATAATATATAAAATAACAAAACCAATAAAGTACAGCCACCCAAACACAAATGTGCATCTAGTATAGTATTTGTGTGCATTCTATTGAACGAGTAATTTTTTTTTTAATATGCATTAAATATAGGAAACATTAATAATGTGTATCTTAATTAACATTATTTTACACTTATTATATAACTCGTGTAATAAAAATATATTTAGTAATTTTGATTTTTGATTTAATATTTTATAATATTATATGTTAAAATTAAATAATAATATTATTTAAATAAATTAATTTTGAACGCATTAAAGTGCATTTCGTCAAACGTTATAGTGCAATCTGACATTCACTAATGTGCAAAATGATTACTAATATTGTGCAATAGTTTTGAGGGTTTTTTTATGTTCAAATCCAACCTAAAAATGAACTGAAATAACATATACTTTAAAAGTAAAACAAATGATTGAACCTAAAATTTTTAAATTGACCGTTTTCTGTTGATATTGTGCAATTAATATGCAATTTGTCTAACATTATTGAGCACGGTTTTCATAGTCGCTATTGTACAGTCTCAACCGATTTAACTTTTTTTCCCAAATAAAACTAAAACCGAACTACATTAATTGGGTTATGCGGTTGGTTAGTTGAACTAATCAAAATAAACCGAAATAATATATTCTTATATTATAAAATATATTTAATATTTTAATATTTTATATTTTTGACATAAAAGAATAATATTTGGATTTGAATATAATAAAAATAATATTTTGTATATAGTTTGGTCGGTTAGTTATTTCAGTTATTTTAAAAATTAAAGTCGACATCAAAATGAAATAGCCAAAATTCTTAAAAGTAGTAACATTTAATCGAACGAAATGTATAAATTCGAATCGAAAAATTCAATTAGGTTGATTCGGTTGATATTGTGCAGTTTTGCAGTCAATAATGTGCAATCAGTATAACACAATTATGCGCTCGTATAACATATATTTTTAATATATGTATAAACATTTTATATGGTGCATCTCATTTAACATTATTGTAAATTTGTTAAATTTTCAATAAATTGTAATTTTGGCCCATTAATTAAATTGATTGTAAATATGCTAAAATGTTTGAAATTGCACCACAGTCCCTGGAAACTATTCATTTCTCAAACAAAAGTCCCCTAATCCACAGGCCACAAGTGAGTTTCACAGCCGTCCAAGCCTGCCAGAGGGTTGCCGGCGAGTTTAACCTCAAATTATGGCTTTACGGTTTCAGATTTCATCGGCATATCCAATTAGAGTCGAATGACTTTGAGAAATAAAACAAATATTATGATTGGGAAAATCATCCATCCTCAAATTAGGGATTCGACGGGTATTGATATTGCGGCCGCGTACGGACGATCGACGGCGGAGGTGCTGCGACTCTTTAGTAATTGTGTGTGCAAGTCGTGGTCTGTGTATGTTCTTCGGCCAGGTGAGGAAGCCGACGGAAGTTATGGCATGGATGTGGAGATCGCGGCTGTAGTCGATGAAGGTCATTTTCGAGGCCTTCGGAGGACGGTGAACTTGGTGAGCAGCGGCGCAGGACAGGAACTCCGGCGATGGATCGGTTGGAGAAGGTCGGAAATTTCGGCGAGTGGTGGGCGGTGGAGGTCTGCTCTCAACGGTTGCGGAGGCGCGGCGCTCCCTGAGATCGCGGCGAAGGTGACACTTGCATTCGGCGGGCGGTGACTGACGGGAGGAGTTGTGAACGACGGGAAGGTGTGTGTTTTTCTGTGTGTGTGTTTGTGTCGAGATCGAGAGNTGCACATTTTAAGGGGTGGACTCATTGGATCCACCCCCTATATATATATTCTAATCCAAATATATATATAGGGTCGCGCTCACATGAGAATGATGCTTAATGCGAGAAATAAGAATAAATTTTAGCCATCGGATCGGATGATCTAATGGCTAATAAAAAAGTCAAATTTATACATTCATTAAGGGTAATTTGGACATTAACATAACACATCACCACCCACATCACAATGCCATGTCACCACCCACACAAATAACACACGCACAAGCACCTAACACACGCACGCACACACCTAACACACTCTGCACACACGTTTCACACACAAACACACACACACACACGCACATGCACACGCACAGCGCTCGCCACCGGCCACTCCACACAGAATCGCCGCACCGGCCACTCCACACAGAACCGCCGCATCCACCGAGCTGGCCGTCACTGCCGCCGAACGCCGACGCCCGAGAACATCGGTGCGGTCGCCGTCCTTCTTCATCCACATTCCCCGTCGCTCAAATCTGACGAGAAGGTATTCTCCTCCGGCGACACCAACCAGTATACCTTCTAGATCCACGGCGGCGTCTGCACCTGGAAGTCCGCAGAGGTCACACCTGGTCCCCTGGAAGTCGGCAGAGGTCACGGCAGCGCCTGCGCCTGCATCTGGAAGTCGGCGGGCCGTCCCGCTACGGCGATCAACAGGAGCGACGGTGCTTGCTGAGAAGGACTGACAGAGACGAGCCGGAGTGGCCGCCGGTCGAGCCGGTGACGGCGCTGTATGTCGTCGGACAGATCCTCCACGCGGCGGCAATCGACTGGATAATGTCGGTGCTTGCTGAAGGGCCAAGCCGGGATGGTCACGGTCGCCGGAGATGGCACAATTTGAGCCGACAAAAACTGTAGAATGTGATTTGGGAATTAGGGTGTGGTTTTTGCAATTAAATAATGGTGAGGGCACATTTGCAATTTTATTAACTTTCATTATTTTTCATTTTAGATAATGGGCAAGTATATAATTTATAGTAACAATGTCATAAATGGATCTTAATAATTAAAGTGTAGATTGATTAAAATTTTAATATTTAAATATTTAATATGTAATTGCGAATATGCGAGAAATAACTGATATATAAATAATAATAATAATAATAATAATAATAATAATAATAATAATAATAATAAAACAAAATATAAGATTTTGTACTAAATTTATGTTCGTTGGTCTCATTCGATTTTGTGCAATATGGTAGACAATTATGTGCAATTTGTACAATCATAATGTGCAATCGGCAATACATACAAGAATATAGATAAAAAATAGTATTATTTTTTCATAAGAAATAAAAATAAAAAAATTGCTAATATATTTTCATATAATTCGGGATATGCAGTTATTTTATTTATTTAAAAATAATAAATCCGACAATTAACCAACTAATATTATTCGATCGATTAGTAAAATTATTGAATTTTTAGTACGTGTAGCGTGTCGTTTTATACGGTGCAATAAGTTGTGTTATAAGATGCAATCATTACTATATAAAGTGCAACGTATTAATTTTAGTACTTTAGCAACAAACATATAGATAAAAAATAGTATTATTTTTCATAAAAAATAAAAATAAAAAAATTGCTAATATTTTTTTCATATAATTCGGCATATTCAGTTAATTTATTTATTTAAAGATAATAAATCTGACAATTAACCAACTAATAGTATTCGATCGATTAGCAAAATTATTGAATTTTTAGTACGTGCAGCGTGTCATTTTATACGGTGCAACATGTTGTGTTATAAAGTGCAATGTATTACTATATAAAGTGCAACGTATTAATTTTAGTACGTTAGCATGCTCGTGGGGTTTTTTTTAAATAGACGGTGTGATAATGTGCAACGTATTATTTTATAAAGTGCGATATTTTGCTATATAAAGTGCACTAACTAATTTATACTCTAATAAATTATGTGTATAATTGTACCTTATATCACATCGTGTTATTGTTGCACGTTATACAACGTTTCATTGCACCTTATATCACATCATGTTCCACCTTAAAAAAACAACACAAATAAGGTGTTACAAAATAATATAAATATAATAAATAAGATTATTAACATATTAAATATAAATTTCGTATAAATAATAAATTATTTAAATTGTTTAGGATAATTCGGTTAGCTGAACCGAATAAACAAACTGATTATATTCATGTCCAATTCGATGTGTTACGAAAAGGTCAGTTGGTTCAATATGCACAATACAGACAGTCACGGTGCACCATAGTGTTGGACAAATTACACCTTAAAAACTAAATTGCATAATATATTTCATTTATTTAAATATATAACTTTTTTAATCGAAACGTAATATAGAATATTAAATATGAATTCATATTAAATAATATAATTTATTTCAATTAGTTTGAGTTATTTCAATTAACCAACAAATTACACTTAAAGATTGATTTTTGTACATAATCAGTTGATTATATAATCAATTAATTTGCTCCATGTATAATAACATAATATAACTTTTGTTATATTGCAGATTTGCCCAAGGTATTAAATTGAAATAAATGAAACTTCAAAAAAATACAATCAAGTCCCTACAACATATCAAATTCTCAAAATGTAACCCACAATTCCAAAAACTTCAAAAAAATTGCAAATAGGCCCACCATTTTTGTCTAATTTCCAAAAAAGAACCCCAAATTAATGTCAAACATTCACAAATCAAATTAACATTCACAAATCAAATTAATCGCTGCAGCTATTCCGGCCGTCACTTCCGGCAGTGCCGCCACCGCGCCGCCGCCATCTCACATACTGAACGCAGAGTTCAGTCGCCGGTCAATCCTTTCGTCGTTGCCGGTGACGAGCTCGAGCCTCATTCTTTGATTTTTCTGAAATCTGCACATATTTTCGTCGGAGAACGACCGCCACCACCACCAGGAGATGAGGGACACGATGCCGACGGAACACTGTGGCAGACACGGTCGCGCGGCGGAGGGTCCTCGGTGCTCGTTCTCCGGCGATTTCAGCCGCCTCTGCAAGGATGACGAGACGTGGAGGCAGGGTTGGACGTGACGTTGGTTGGGGACGGCGGCGACGGGATCGGACGGCCGGTTGCCGGTGAAGGGCGGAAGCCGGCGGCTGCAAGGTGGTGGTGCCGATTGATTGTGTGTGTGTGTTCTCTGCGTGTGTGTGTGTGTTAGATTTGATTGTGCTGGAGACACAAAAATAGGGTAATTGTGGTGGGTGGGTATGGTGGGACCCATTTGTATATTTAATGTCTCATTTACCCTTACTTAGTGGTCAAATGTGTAATTTGACCATAATATGTATGTTAAATTACCATATTGCCATTAATGATTGACCATAGTTTGACTTCATCATAACCACTAATATGCTAGATCTAATGGTCCACATTCATTCTCATTTTCTCGCATTAAGAGTCATTCTCATATGATCCTTTCTCTCTCTCTCTCTCTCTATATATATATATATATATATATATATA